TTTCCAATAGTTTTTGGGATACTGGTGGTTTTGGGCTATGTGGATAAGTTCTTAAGTGGTGATTCTGAGATTTTCGTACACCTGTCACCTGAGCAGTTACACTGTACCTAATATGTAGTTTTTTATCCCTCACCCCACTCCCAACTTCCTCCGAGTCCCCGATCACTCTTACGCCTTTGTGTCCTCTTGGCTTAGCTCCTACTTGTTGGTGAGCATATATGATATTTGGCTTTCCATTCCTGAGTTACTTCACTTAGAAAGGCCTCGAGCTCTGTCCAATTGCAGCAAAAGACATTATTTTGTTCATTTTTTTGGCTGAGTAGTATTCCATGGTGCATATATACCACATTTTCTTTATCCCCTTGTTGGTCAATGAGCACTTAGGTTGGTTCCATATCTTTGCAATTGTGAATTATGCTGCGATAAACTTGCGTGTGCAAGCGTATTTTTCATATAATGACTTCTTTTCCTTTGCGTAGATACCCAGTAATGGGATTTCTGGATTGAATGGTAGTTCTACTTTTAGTTCTTTAAGGAATCCCCACACTGTTTTCCACGGTGGTTGAACTAATTTACATTCCTACCAGCGATGTAAAAGTGTTCCCTTTTCACCACATCTATGTCAACATCTTTTCTCCAGTTTGAAAAAGGGGCCCACCATTTTCACTTTGCACTCTAGCAGCCTTGCCTGGAGAGACAGACACTATGAAGAGGCACACTCTGCCCTCCAGGTCCTGAGTGTGGACAGTGGTGAGATGGACAGTTATAGCCACAGACTGCCAGGCTCACAGCTCTGTGTTTATCCCTCCTTCCAGCACGTGGCTTGCGCATGGTCATTGTTCATTGTTCTTCTGCCCCCTAGACTGTAGGGCCCATGAGGCCCTGGCCCTGGCACTGAGGAGTCCTTGAGGAGTGCCTGTGAATGAACAGATGGCCTCTGACTTGCTACCTTCTCTTTGTTCACATAATCACTTGATTCCCATCCAGTGGTGTGCTTAGCTTTAGACATGCCTGTTTTGAATTAAATCCCTCTTGGCCATTCCTTTTAAGTCACACATACTGTGATTGCTTTTGATTAAGGCAGCAAGGACATGAGGATTAACAAGAGATGAGATATGCCTAGGCTCCCCAGGGATCCAACAGGAGCCGCCATGCTTAATGTCTCCAGTGGATTTCCATTTCTGCACCCCATCCTAGAGATTCAAGAACTGGTCTGGTCCTCCAGTCCTGGGAACTTTGGTGGCACAAGGGCCAATCTGCTCCAGCACTGCCACTCCCAAGTAATCACATCTTGCTATGATTTCCTATTTACATGTCTGCCTGTGCAATTCATTTTGATGAATGAATGAATGCATTAATCAGTAAATCAAAAGGTGAAAGAATTAACAAAAGAATAGCAAATCAGAATAATGACTGCTGAGTTTGCTCCCCCAGCAGTAGGTCCTAGAGGGCGTGCTTGGTCAGCACTGAGTGCATGAACCGTGAGACCTCTGGCTCCTGTTGTATCGAGCTAAGCTGGGACTGGCAGCCGGACCAATCATGTCAAGGTTCAGCTTTTCAGAGGCTGCAGGGTAAATGGGGCAACAGCACAGGCATTAGAGCCAGATGGACAAAGGGTAAAACCTCAACAGTCCTGCTACTTTCTGTGATTTTGGACGAATCACTTGTTGCCTCTAAGACTCAGTTATCATTTTAGCAAAATGGAAAATATATGCATCTTATGGGATTTTAAAAAATCACTGTATATCATTTGTATTTTTAAATTGGCAATTCCTGGCATCAATTATGATTCTCATTTCCATCTGTCCCTAGATACACATAGAGATCTCAAGGCGGCTGCTATGGGAGTGTCTTCCAAGGTCATAGAGCTTTCATCTGTGTTATTTGGCCCATGAGATGTTTTCCATGTTCTGACTTAGCTTGTGTGATTAACTGATGGGAAAGAAGTAGAACAACTAGCAGACACTCAATAAACATTTACTGAACTGAACGGCATCCAGGGCCCTCCCCATGCCCTGCTTCCATTAAAGGCAAAGCTGTCCCCCACTTCTCAGGACCCTCCTTTTCCTCTCTTCTCCCTACTCCATGCCATCAGCCACCAGGTCCTGCAGGTTTTGTCACTGTGTATTAGTTCACCATGAGTGCCTACTGTATGACTGGTGCGGTGCTATGCTGGCCACTGTGGATGTCATGGGGAGCAAATCAGGAGAGGTCCTTGTCCTTGTAGAACTTACAGTTTGGTAGAAGAAAACAGACCCTATACAAATACACACCAAATATCGTTACATATTGCACACAGGGCTCCAGTGAAACAGGATGGGGAGGGAAAGAGTATGAACCTTCAGTGGGTGGGAAGAAGAAAGGTTTTGTTGTTGTTGTTATTGTTGTTTTGAGACAGAGCCTCGTTCTCTCACCCAGGCTGGAGTGCAGTGGTGTGATCTTGGCTCACTGCAACCTCCGCCTCCTGGGTTCAAGCAGTTCTGCCTCAGCCTCCTGAGCAGCTGAGATTAAAGGTGCACACCACCACGCCTGGCTAATTTTTGTAGTTTTACTAGAGACAAGGTTTCATCGTGTTGGCCAGGCTCGTCTCAAACTCCTGACCTCCCGATCTGCCTGCCTACACCTCCCAAAGTGCTGGGATTACAGGTGTGAGCCACCACGCCCGGCCAAAGAAAGACCTTTCTGAGCAGAGATGAGCTCTAGAGAACGGGAAGGAGCTGACCAGGGAAAAAAAAAAAGATGAGAAGTGCTTCAGCGGCAGAGGAAATAGCACATGCAAAGTCCCCAGGGTCTGAAGGCACTCTTCAGGCCCAGCTGGAACACAGCGAGCGAGGTGGAGGTGGCATCACAGTCGCTCACATTTACAGGGCACATAGGAGGTGCCAGGCACTGTTCTATGGCTTCATAGGTCTTGACTCGCTTAATCCTTTCAAAAGCCCTATGAGAGGTTTTGCTCACCATTTTACAGACAGAGAAGCTGAGACCTAGGGAGGTGAGGTGGCTAGCCCATGACCATCCAGATACTCAGCAGCTGAGCCTGGGTTCCATCTCGGGCAGTCTTGCTCCAGGGACCGTGACTAACCCACGGAGCTGCCTTCCTCAAGAGGGGCCACGGAGGCAGGTGGCAGGCCCAAGAGGCCATGCTAAGGAGAGAGGTTTTCCTTTCAAACATCTCTTGCCTTTGCTTCTTAGCACCGACTGTGAATTCTCCTACTTGCTAAGTGGGGGGTCTTAGGCCAGTTACTCCACTGCCCTTTATTTCATTCCACAACTCTTTTTTCATGTATGTGCTATGTGCCAGGCATGTGCTAGGAGCGAGGGAGACATGCAATGGAGACCAAAAGCAGGTGCGCACCCTGCCATCAAGGTCATTGCAGTCCACTTGAGGGAGAGCAAGTTAATCAAACAGTCCAATGGAGATAAGGGCTGTAAGGACAAGATGCACGGTCCTGGAGAAGCTATATGCAAGGGGCTCCTTCTGGGCTATGAGTCAGGGAAGGCTTCCCTAAGGAAGCTGCACTCAAGCTGAGATTGGAAGGGTAGGCAGGAAATACCCAGGTAAAGTAAGAGGATTGGGACTGGGCACAGTGGTCCACGCCTGTAATCCCAACACTTTGGGAGTCCAAGGTGAGTGAATCATCTGAAGTCAGGAGTTTGAAACCAGCCTGGCCAACATGGTGAAACCCTGTCTCTACAGAAAATACAAAAAAATTAGCTGGGTGTGGTGGTGCACATCTGTAGTCCCAGGTACTTGGGAGGCTGAAGCATGAGAATTACCTGAACCCAGCAGACAGAGGTTGCAGTGAGCCTAGATCACACCATTGTACTCCAGCCTGGGCAAGAGCAAGAGTCCCTCTTAAAACAAAACAAAACAAAACAAACAAACAAACAAAAGGTAAGAGGGTTGGGATAAAAATGGGGCTGCCCAGGGTTGGGTGCGATGGTTCACGCTTATAATCCCAGAACTTTGGGAGGCCGAGGGCGGGCAGATCACGGGGTCAGGAGATCGAGACCATCCTGGCTAACACGGTGAAACCCGGTCTCTATTAAAAATACAAAAATTAGCTAGGCGTGGTGGCATGTGCCTGTAATCCCAGCTACTCAGGAGGCTGAGGCAGGAGAATTGCTTGAACCAGGGAGTCAGGGGTTGCAGTGAGCCAAGATTGCACCACGGCACTGCAGCCTGGTGACAGAGCAAGACTCTGTCTAAAAATAAATAAGTAAATAAGTAAATAAATAAATAAATAAGATAAAAAATAAAAATAAAAATAAATGGGGCTGCCCAGGCACCCAGTTAAATTTGAATTTCAAATAGACAACAAATAATGTTTAGCATAACATTATTATATTGCATGAGATGTGTTTATAATAAAACCTTACTCATTGTTGATCTGATATTCCGCATTTATCTGCACCTCCTGTTTTTGTTTATTCATTGAGTTTTGTTTGTGTATCTGACAACCTGAGGTAGAAAGGGTATTCAGGACAGAGGGAATAGCATATACAAAGTGATGATCATAGGACGAAGCACAATGTTAGAGAGAAACTGCAGGGAAGCCAGTGTGACTGGGCATAGCAAGCCTCAGTTTCCTCACTTATAAAGTGGAAGTTGTAATAGTGCATAACTCACAGCAGTATACATGTAAAGTGTTTAGCATAGTGTTGGTGCACAGTTATTGCTTAATAAAGGTTAGATGCTATCATGCCTTCTCTTTGCCCTCCACCATCATCATCTCCTTCTCTTTTTCTACCAATTCCAACCAATTCTAGAGCCTTCTGGACCCTTGAAATTGCCATCTGTTAAAAAAAGAATGGTCAGGTTCTCACCAAAATTATGATTTAAAAAGCCCTAGAAGTTGAAGATTTTGTTTGGTGTCAGCTTAAGCTATTTCTGAAAATGTCCGTGCTAATAAATACATTATTATTAGTCCACTCGTGTTGCTGCAAAGGAATACCCAAAGCTGGGTAATTTATAAAGAAAAGATGCTTATTTGGCTCACAGTTCTGCCGGCTGTACAAGAAGCATGGCACCAGCATCTGCTTCTGGTGAGGACTGCAGGCTGCTTCTGTTCATGTCAGAAGGCAAAAGGTAGCTGGTATGTGGAGAACACATGATGAAGGGGGAGCTGAGAGAGGTATGGAAAGAGGTGCTAGGCTCTTCTCAACAACCAGATATTGCAGGAATTAAGAATGAAAACTCCTTACTCCCACAAGAATGGCACCAAGTCATTCATGAGGGATCTGCCCCCACAACTCAAACACCTCCCACAAGACCCCACTTTCAACACTGGGGATCGAATTCCAACATGAGACTTGGCAGGGCCAAACAAGCCATGTCCAAACCATAGCATCTACTAACATACTGATTGGAAGACAGTGACTCCGGAGTGAAATTAGCTGCTACAGAGAAGCAGTATGCTACTTGGATATGGAGTCAGTTACCATAGCAGAGGCCCAAGGTAGACATTGACTTCTCCCTTACATATGCAGGCTAGCCAGGCAGCCCCCAAGGTAACAGGAACCCAAGCTTCTCCCAGGATGTTGTTCTGCCATCTCTATGATGTTGTTTTGTGGTCAGCCTCTGACCATTCCAATATCTGACATCTTTGTAGGTCTATTTCTATTGTCTTTTATTTCTGCTGGTTATCCACCATGGAGTCGTATTTCTTTGTTTGCTTTTTCATTCAGGATTATCCCAGTTAAATAAATGAAGAAATTCTCCCCAAAGAGTTCACCAACACACTTGTATTCCAACTAGCAGGGAGAGAAGAAATGGTGCTGGAGAGGGTACAAGGCTTCCCTTTAGGGGCATAACTCAGAGCTTGTATAAGTCACACTCATACCCTTTGGCCAAAACTTACTCAAAGAGCCACAGTTGGCTGCAAAGAATGCTGCTAAATGTAGTCTTTACTTTGGGGGTGGCTGTAGGCTCAGCCAAAACGTCAGGCTTGTATTACCATAGAAAGAGAGGAGAGCGGATATCAGAACACACCAGAAGCGTGGCAACAGCCAAGGTGTAAAGTCACTTGAAATAGACTCGCCTGGCACATCTTTCCATCTGGGCTCTGTTCTGGCTACAAGGAAGGAGAACACAGGGGCCCTGGAACCAGAGAGGTTGGAAAGACAGGGTTTCCTGGGAGTAGCAAAACATGGAAACAAATCTAGGGATAATTAGGACAAGCAGCTAAATGTGATGTTTAATGCCAGCCACAATGAAGAACAAGTTTTCCACTCTAGTTGCTCATAAATTCAAAACAGCTTCAAGGAAGGAGAAACAGCTTGAAAAACTTTTGTGAGTATATAAATATGGTGACAGAATATGTTATATATTATTTATACATATATATATAGAGAGAGAGAGAGAGACAGACACAAAGACAGAGAGACAAAGAGAAGTGACACCTCAACTAAAATTGGTCTTTATTTTATATCTGTATTTGTGTCTGCTGATTATTGAGCGGTTGAACATTGGTGCTGCTCTTTATTTGTTTGTTTGTTTATTTATTTATTTATTTTTTGAGACAGAGTCTTGCTCTTTCTCTGTCATCCCAGGCTGGAGTGCAGTGGTACAATCTTGACTCACTGCAACCTCTGCTTCCTGAGTTCAAGTGATTCTCCTGCCTCAGCCTCTCAAGTAACTGGGATTACAGGCACCCGCCACCATGCTCGGACAATTTTTTATTTTTATTTTTAGTAGAGATAGGGTTTCACCATGTTGGCCAGGCTGGTCTCAAACTCCTGACCTCAGGTGATCTGTCCTCCTTGACCTTTCAAAGTGCTGGAATTATAGGCGCGAGCCACTTTGCCCAGCCTGGTGTTGCTCTTTAAATGAAAGCAACCTTGTGTGCAATCTCCTCCCTCCTTCATTCCTCAAAGCTTTAGGACATCCCTGCTTTCACCAGGCCTGGCCCCAAGCTAGGGCCAGGATGCAGATGCTACAAAGACTCCAGCTTCTCCCCCAGGAATATGTGCGTCCCCTAGAAAGGCATAACTACTAGGCCTACCTATCGGTTCACAGCAGCACCACAGGGCTGAAGGCATTCTGGAACCTTCTGTTATTGTGTATCAACAGTCAGGTGCTCCTGTCTTGATGGCCTGGTAAGAAAACACCCACTCTGGAGGAAGACAGTCCTGGGTTCAAATTCTTCCTCTGCAGCTTCCTATTCATGCGGCCTTACAGGAAAGAGCTTTGCCTTACGTATGAGGCTGGCACAGTGTTGAGAGCAACAGTCTTGGGAACCACGTGGACCTGGCCATCACATAGGCCCTGACTCCTCTAGGGTGACCAACTGTCCTAGTTTGCCCAGAGTAGAAGGTTTCCAGAGATGCAGAAATTTCAGTGCCGAAACCACACCAGTCCCAAGCAAATCGGGACAGTTGATTGCCCTGCTACCAGACACATGCTCCAGGGCAAGTTACTTAATGCTCTGAGGCTCAATTTCCTTGCATATAAAAATGGTCCTAATAATGTCTATCTTGCAGGAGAGCTATAGGGAATAGAAAGAGTGCCTCATGCAGAGTAATCATCAGAATTATTATTAATATTATTAACTTCTCCCCCTCACTGCCTGGGCACCTCTTTTATAATAGCCAATGTCCCAATTTACCAGAAGGGTCCACACAGCTTTATCAGGCCATTATAAAGCAGCAAAAGTGAAGGACTTTCTCCCTAATGCATTGTTTTTCTATGCAGGGGTCAAGGAGACTCCCAGCCTCCAGGGTTCCCCACATCTCTGGGCCTGAGTGAGCCCTCAGTGTCCCTCCAGCATTGCTGAGGCCTAGAGTCAGTTATTAACCTTCCCTCCAACCCCAAGACCACGTGGCTTTGCTCATTAAGGCTGTTGTTTGGCTCTACAGCTCTGAGACGACGCCCAGTATGACTTTGTCCACCCTCATCTTGATTGCATTCACAAGTACTTCCTAAAATTAATTACCAAGAAAAAAAAAGTCAGATACATGTTGGTGTCTCTTTGTTGCAAGAAAAAAATTCAGTATTCATTCCAAGTAAAATTACTTCATCACTCAACAATTTCATCCAGCCTCCCAGGCCCCCAGAAGGCACCAAAATACTTAGCATGTGGTTAAGTGCAGCACTCAGAGAAGGTGTGAATTTGCAAGAATGTGGAAGCTTCATTCAACTTTCTCAGTTTCATCACAAATGACTGCCTTCCTCCTTTCTAGGCCCAGCCCTCCAGACGTCAGAACAAGAAACAGGCACATTGACTGCAAACCCGAGACCTTTGTGAAGACAGGGAGGGTACTAAAGGAAAAATGCCAAAGCCTTTTGTTTTCTTTTTTTATTATTATTATACTTTAAGTTCTGGGGTACATGTGCAGAACGTGCAGGTTACATAGGTATACACCTGCCATAGTGGTTTGCTGCACCCATCAACCCATCATCTGCATCAGGCATTTGTCCTAATGCTATCCTTCCCCTAGCCCCACACCCCCCAACAGGCCTTAGTGTCTGATGTTCCCCTCTCTGTGTCCATGTGTTCTCATTATTCAGCTTCCACTTGTGAGTGAGAACATGTGTTGTTGGTTTTCTGTTCCTGTGTTAGTTTGCTGAGAATCATGCTTTCCAGCTTCATCCATGTCCCTGCAAAGAACATGAATTCATCCTTTTTTATGACTACATAGTATTCCATGGTGTATATGCACCACATTTTCTTTATCCAGTTAATCATTGATGGGCATTTGGGTCGGTTCCAAGCCTTAGATATTGTAAATAGTGCTTCAATAAACATATGTGTGCATGTGTCTTTATAGTAGTATGATTTATAATCTTTTGGGTATATATATCCAGTAATGGAGTTGCTAGTTCACATGGTATTTCTGGTTCTAGATCCTTGAGAAATCGCCACAATATCTTCCATAATGGTTGAACTAATTTACACTCTCTCACTGTGGTTTTGACTTGCATTT